TTAGTAACCGAGTACGTTATAAATGCATACTAATTTTTATTTTTTAACTAGAAAACAAGACAAAACACTGGATTTTTGTGCAGTGTATCTATTTTTGCATAGACCTCACTATATTCAGTTAAATAAATAAATATTTCTTAAATTCTAGTATATTAAATTAATAATAATAATAATAATAATAATATACAAATGAATTGATCTTATTATAGGATTATTATTTTTTTAAACACTGACTAAACATTTTTTTTGTGTGCGTGTGTGTGCAATATAACTACTATTTTTGGGATGTTTGATTGCCCAACAGACAGAAATCACAAATGTGATGCCTTAATAATAATAGAAAAATAATAGCACATCTCTCCTAAATAAGCTACACAATTTGAGGCAGGGTGACTTTACAGGCCAAAGTTTAATTCTTAGGGTTCGGGGTTTGTGTGACCTATAGTAATAAAATGGCCACTAAAAGCCTCAATACTTGATTCTGCGTGTCTATAAATCATTATTGTTCGTTCAGTGTTCACCAGGCAGAAAAACATCAATTCTTTCTTTTTTTCCTTCAGTCTGATTTCTGTTCTGGCTCAAACTACAATAACAGTAAATTAGCAACACTACTATATTACAAATATCCTGTGCAACAGGATGAAGGAAAAGCAGGCAGGGGAGGCCGTTAGTGGGGCGGTTGTAGCCAAGGTTTAAGTTAAGTGAATGCATGCATGTATGTATGCGTGTGTGTGTGTGTGTGTGTGTGTGTGTGTGTGTGTACACAGGGGCTCCATGAGGCAAAAGGAAGGAGCTCTTGAGTCGATGCCAACCGCCTTCTGCTCTCTGAGGTGACCCTACTCCGGCGATCATGCCGATTGTTCCGCAGTATGTCCACACACACACGCACACACACACACACACACACACACGAGGGGTAAAAACAGAGATGGCTCGGCTACTTCCACTGCTGATGTAAATAGTTCACCCAAAAAATAAAATACTGTCATTGTTTACTCTCCCTTATGACTTCATTTCTTCCACTGGAAACAAAACAATGTGCTGGTCCAGGGAATTACAATGAAAAGAGACAAAAATAAGAAACGGATGATTCATAAGTGATTCCTTCAGACTGGTTTTGTGAATCATAATAAAAGATTCATAAATAATAATAATCTGAATATGAATAACGGGCTTCGCCAGAGGGAAAGACCTCTTTACTCACACAAAACTATCGTATAACTTCAGGAGACTTGAAATAATTCACACAAATCATACTTTTATGATAATTTGAATGGTGCTTTTTGCTTTTTCTTCTGTTTGCAACTGCAAAAAAAATTATAAATAAAAAATGTAAATCTGCCCAATATCCTTTTGAGCTATACAGAAAAATAATAATAATACAAGACTGGAATGATTTGTGGTATAAGTAAATTACAATGTTTTCATTTTTCAGTAAACTATTCCTTCAACAGCCTGCCACTTACTGATACGTGAGGGTCCAAGTGACGACGATAAGCTCTACGCAAATCAAAACATGGTGGCGGTACACGTCTACAAGCCAATAAACCACGCGATTCTGAAGCAGACATAGGAGGATCCTCTGGCAGAGGCAGCGAATGGAGACACGTAGAGTTTAGTCCAGTTTTTGTCCACAAGCTCAGATAAAATGACTTATGGCAGAAAGCCAGATTAGGTGCTTTGTACTGTGGAAAGTTAACATTTTGACAAACAGGTTGTCAAGCGAGCACAGGGTTTACGGGATGTAATATTTAATAGGATAAAGAGCTAACATCTGACTTCATATAACTGGACCACTGTATAGCATGCAGTTAGTCACCTTCCAGGCATTGTGGAATGACACACACACACACACACACACACACACAAACAACACCATCATTGTATAATTAACTACCTGATATTTAAAAATAGCTAGAATCAGAAACAAAATCACGTTTTTTTACACACAAAAAGTCATCTGTTTACATTCAATTTCACATAAAGCAACAGTCTCTTTCTGGTTTAATATTTAAATTAAATCTAAAAACGAGCATTGCTAATTTTCAAGAGCTTTCATTAAATATCAAACCAGGTTAAACATTTACTTTATTGAGCCATGGTGCTCATACATATTGACCGTTTCCTCATTTTACTTCTCGTTTTCTGTCCTCTCTCAACTATAATATACATACACAACCGTTAAAAATTTAGGTTCGGTATGATTTTTCCATGCGCATAAAAGCTGCATTTTTTTAAATGTATATTGTGAAATATTCTTATATATATTAATATTATTAAATATTAATATATAAATAACTGTTTTTCTATTTGAATACATGTTAAAATGTAATTTATTCCTGTGATCAAAGCTGAATTTTCAGCATCATTACTCCAGTCTTCAGTGTCACATGATCTTCAGAAATCATTCTAATATGTGAATCTGCAGCACAAGAAACATGATTAATAATCTTATTATTATCAAAGTTAAAAACAGTTGTGCTGCTTAATATTTTTATGAAAACCATGATGCATATTTGAACAGAAAGTTCAAAAGAACAGTTTTATTTGAAATACAAATGTTTTGATACATTACAAATGCCTTTACTTTCACTTTGGATCAATTTAATGCATGCTTGCTGAATAAAAGTATTAAATTCCTTTATAATATATACTTAAACTTAAAATAAATTTAGCAGATATACACATTTAAAAAGTACAGTGTTAAATGGGCCAAAAATATTGATGACATTATTTGGTCTCTTAAGCTTTGTTCAATAAAATGCTCGGTAGCATAATAATGTAAATGCAAATCCTTCCTATCAAATCATAGCTGTTAAAAAAAAGACACGCCCATTGATATGTCCCATCCCAAATTCCTGCTGGAATAGGAAATACATTGACACAGCACAGAAAATTTGATAAACCATTACATAGGCTCTTCAAATGGGTCAACTTTCGACAAGAAGAGTCTTCTTCAGAGGCAAGAACTGAAAAATGTGGTCATGTGGATCTAATTCATGCTATGAAAGGAATTCAATCTTTCCTGAAGTACCGTAAGAGCATTAAAAAGCAACAGTGCTGTTAATCTGCTGATAATTAGCAGTGGGCTCTGAGAAACAGCATACAGCAGCGAAGCACTTACTGTAGATTTACAGCACACAGACGACCTCGGGACTGCGGGGTCAACGCTTTCTGTTACTCGTGAATCACTTTTTCTAATTTAAAGTGTTTAACAAGTACAGGTATTTAATCAGGATTTAAAGAATCAGCTTACACAGAAATGAACAATTTCACATCATTTACTTTCTCCCATGTCATTCCTATTTTTCTTAATATAACAATATGACTTGAAAGTGAGTAAATGATGAAAAATGTCATTTTGGGATGGCTTATTATCTTGCTCTCATAAGTAATTAAATGTCATCCACAGCGTGCAAACACTGCTCCAAGATGTAACCAGCAAACGTGGGCTGCTTAAGGATGTGTTCTGATTAAACATGTAATCTTGTGGCAGGATCTCACAGAACCACAGCCCAAAAGAATGTCTGAACCACAAACCTGGCATATCCAAGTCTAGCCGAGACACATCGGGTGTAGGAGTAACTAGGGGAAGTGTACGGTCATGTGCATAACAGGATTAAAATGATGTTAATTTGACCATAGTGTCCTACATGATGTCCCATTAAACTCTGAGAGACTGGGGCAGACAGCCCAAGTTATTACCCTGCTTTTAACATACTTCAGTGAAGGACAATAAAGCTTTGTTAAAACGTTTAATAGTGGATAACTGACCTCACGTTCCTGCTTACAGACATATGTACATTCAAACGCAAGTAAACAAACTCGATTTCTGAAGAAAATGTACACTCATTCTTGGTAATATTTTGTAATGTTTTTTGGAAAAAGACTTTGTGCTCACCGAAGCTGCATTTATTTTAACAGTACCATTGTGAAATTTTCTATTTGAATACATTTGAAAATATTCTTATTATCGTGACGATACTAATCATCACTCCAGTCTTCAGTGTCACATGATCCTTCAGAAATCATTCTAACATGCTGATTTGCCGCTCAAGAAACATTTGTTTATTATTATCAATGTCGAAAACAGTTCTACTGCTTTATATTACTGTGAAAACCATGTCAGGTTTCTTAGAAAGTTCAAAAGAACAGCATTTATTTGAAATAATTTAATTTTGTAACATTATAAATGTCTTTACTGTTACTTTTGATCAATTTAATGCATCCTTTTTGAATAAAATCATACATATCTTACCCCAAACTTTTGAAAGGTAGTGTAAGGGTAAAATGTAAGTGTTGTTTGTCTATACAAAACTCATCGCCAGGCCATTGTTCTGCAGTTTCTGGTAGTTCTGCAACAACATAGTAAGCATCCAAAAAACCCTGGCAACCCCACAGCAAATGTTTCGACACAGTGTCACAGAGATGAGTTTTTTTGTAAGGCAAGTTAAAAGTGTAAGACATTTTTATCATCTGATCACTTAGAAAAGTATAGCACACTTTTCACTCACCAATCCTTCCTAAAAGCAATTGCCCTCAAACTATATTTCAGTCAACGGCTCTTTATCTAACCCCTGTTACGCCAATATTTCCCTTCAAATGAAAATGTAAGTGTAGTTATAGTACAGCAGCAGGAATGATTCCTCCTGATTCCTGAGGAATGATTCCATCGGAGGTTACATGAAACTCAAACACACCTCTGAAAGCTGCACAAAGGCTGAAGTAAACATTAGTCACCATCCAGACAAAAGAAAACCACGCAGGTGAAATTGCGTCATGAAATTCAGACCATATGGTAATTAAGTCCATATTTTGACATCTCAGTGATATGAGTCAATAAATATGCTGGAGTACATACAGTTTTTAGATCAGTATTCCTTTCAGAGTCTTAATTTTATTCTGTTTTATCAACATTCATCTGTTATTCTACATTAAAACAAAAAATGGTTCAGTCATGCCCATTGGAAATCTAATGTGTTCAATATTAAAAGACTTACCGCGGTAGACAGTCTGGACGCAAGGGTCATCTCCAGGTTTCCTTTCAGGCCCAGGAGAGCAGGCACCAGGATAAAGACTTCAGTCACCTCTGTGAATACCGTCCAATGCTATTGAGAAAGAGAAACTTTTTAGCTAGAAGCATCACTAACCATTAAAGCCTAACAACAACTAGAGATCTAAGCCATGTTGGAACTAAAGACCGTGATCCCATGTTTGTGATCTTCTCAATTATCTCACAATGTTCTCCTATCAGCCAAGACACCAAAAGATCTCAATATAAATATCCTGTTGGTCTTTTTACTTTTATGTTTTAACTTGTAGGGCTATCATTTTTAAATAGGGAAATCAGAACTTGCAAAATAATCATGACAATCAATAATCAAACATGAAAAAGATTTGTAATAAGATTGTGGATCTTGATCCAGCCAGAAAAAAAAATAGTTATTAGTGCTGTCAAATTGATGAATCGTGATTAATCGCATTTAACATAAAAGTTTGTAATATACAGGATTACGTGTGTGTGTGTGTGCAAATATATATATATATATATATATATATAAATTACTTTAATGTTAGATGTGATTAATCAATTAATAGATTTGAGAGCGCTAATAGTTATATGATATTATTACCTAATATGAACTAATTCACATATTATAGCTCTGCATTTTAATTTTTTTACTGAATTTTAGGACAAAGTTTATACAGAAAACTCAAATATATCTCCCGAACTACGAAAGAGCAACCATGAAATCATCTTCTGTGGAATCCTTGCATGTGAGATTAAACACTAAAAAACAAACACACTGTTCCATTTATAACAAAGTTTCCAAGGGGAAACGCTCTGATAACACCGAACTTATCATCTGCCAATGTTAAACTCGGGCCAATTTCAGGTCTATTGACGCCTCCGTCCATTTGAACCTCTTCCAAGCACCCGACTTGAGATGTCTGACCAAGTTGATGACTCTGGTAACTGGCAGGCTGTTTTTTTTCCATTAGGCTGCGGTGCCTTCGATGCAATGCAGCAGCAGGCAGTGTAGATCAATACATAGATGGAGAGCTTATCTTTAGACCCATTCCCACTGGTGCACAGCAATTACAGGCCTGACACTGACTAGCTAAATCAATTCTAGCAGCATCTTGTCAGCACATGGAGAGAGTGAGAAAGTGTGGCGGGCGCTGCTAACGTAACGTTAGAGAAAAAGTGAACGGTAAACATAACACACAACAACACAAAATCTCCTACAAATAGCAGCAAAAAGCAGTAGTTAAGGAGTTTGAGCGGTGCAGCTTCCAGTAGGCGGGTTTTAATGACCGTTTCTTTTTCCTTGAGTCTTTGGCAGTGCAGGGGCCACTTTTAAAAAAGGACGAACATCAATTGGGAGCTGGCGCCCAGCCACTTTGTCTTCGGTTCCCTTTGACTGAACCTCCTCTACTCTGTCTATCTCCCTCCCCCAGAACGATGTTGTCTTCAGGGAACAGAGCAGTCCTGGCTAATGCCTCCATGTGCCTCCCAGGGTTCTGCGAACTTGACGCACAGAAGTGCAGGCATGCAACCAGAGGGGGGCTCGGATTGCAGGATTGTGTAATGTTGGCTGGCAACGCTCCTCGGTTCCAGCACCTTGGTCTCCAAGGCTCAGAGTATAAGGTCACAGAGGAATTCTGAAGACACACTACCAACCTGGGGTGTGTTTAACACCGGTGAACCTGCAGTGATCTATGTGCATGCTAAGATTTGCAAGATAAACTTGTCATATGGCTTGTCAAGCTTATATGGTTTTTTTTCGCAACAATTTTGGTTCCCAATTAACCTTACAGTGGACAGTTCTTAAAAGAAACTTTTTTTTTGAAAATCTAAAGAACCCTTTTCCACTATAAAGAACCTTTGGTGTGAAGGAAAAGTTCCATGGATGTTAATGGATCTTTATGAAACCACAGATGCCAATAAAAATCTTTATTTTTAAGAGTGTCTATTGACTGTCTATCTTCTGTGGAAAACAAAAGAAGATGTTTTAAAGTCCCTGACTTTCACTGTATGGAAAAATACTGAGACATTTTTCAAAATATCTTCTTTTATGTTCTGTGGAAGAAAGACACATGAGGTTTTCAACATTTATGGGTAAACTATCCCTTTAATAATCTGGAAATTGTCTGGAAAATGTGATTAGTGCTTAACCATCGCTCATTAACAATTTTGCTTGTTAATTTTTCCTATGCGTCTTCTATTGAGATCTTAATGGTTGCAACGAGGTATTGTGGGTTGCTTACTTACTGAAAACAAAACAAGCTGTAAACAGATCTAGATATGGCAAAAGTCCTTCAATTTAAGTCTATGGGACATTTTTCCAAGGTTTTTTGTCAATCAGGGAAACATTTTAATGCCAGGTTCAGACTACATCATATTTTTGTCTGTTACATTAGTCACTGTGTCAGATTATGCGATTTTGACTGTGTCGTGGACAAGAAACACCTCAGACTACACGTTTCTTCCCGACCAATTATCGCTTGCCGTCTTTAACGGCGTGCGTGATGTCATTGAGACGGTGGAACTAGCGACTGACTTCCGGAAACAAGAACGTAACAAACAGCCTAAACTAAAAATTTAAATTGAAAATATAAAAATAAAAGCTAGTTTAAATATGAATAAAAACCTAAATACCTAGCATTTAATAACACTGCCAACAATTTGGGACAAACAACACATCATAGATAAATAAAGATAAATATTAAAGGGATTGGAGCCACTGTAAACCAGGGTTGTCCGGTTGGAACTGAACTCTGCAGGACGGTAGATCTCCAAGAACAGGATTAGGCACTCCTACACTAAATCCAAAGTAATATTGACACTAGCCTTGGCAACGCCACTAAATAATCACATCAAATCTTACATGCTAATTATTCAAGGAAATTAGATGATTTATGCGTGTTCGCAAACAGAACAAGTCACTAGTTTGATCTTTGAGACACTAGGAGAGAAAAGAGGTACAATTTCTCTGCACCTGTTCCTGACCACAGTTACTCCACAGGACGTCTGGCACACAACTTGCCGTTTGCACGTGAAATCAGTCAACTGCACTCGTGAATAATAGACGCCGATCATGTGATCAAACATTAAATTGAGCAACACAGAAACTTACAGTAAGATCTCAGCACACGGAGGGTAAGGACAGGACATTATGCTTGTCTGTCTGCATTCAAATCTGTCAAAATGCGATGACGATGAATGTGGTAAACCCTAACAGGATTCCTGTCCGGCCTTAATGTTTAGTCTGTCGTCCTTGTGGTAAAAATAGTTTTTCACACATTCAAACTTCAGCACAAACAGGTCTGACAAGAGTTTTTCTAGCACAATACATTCCACATCAGCAGGCTAAAAGGCGAAATCACCAAGTCGGCTGAAAAACAAGTTTCCATGCTGGTTAAGACTACAAAGGGTGTGGAGCTGTAGTGAGCTAAAACCTCATACATGCTGTACGTGAACAACAACTAGTGAACTCTCTTCCACACAATTGGTAATAAAATGTCTTTACGCCAATCCATAGGTCTACACCCTTTCCTCAGAAAACAACAATAAGTAATAAACAATCACTCTTTGGATTTCAAATATGTGATTTCTATCGTTTACTGAGGAAACTGAGGAAGTGAGGTAAGTATTACATGGAACAAGACACCTCTTCAGAGAATCTGTACGCACACTGTTTTTGAAAAAAACTAAAAAAAACATAAAACACATGGTTATCCATTCTTGCATCTAGTACCCAGGGTACAACAGAAAGTCATATGTCTATCTGTAGAATAGTGCATTTTCAGTAGGTAGTACAGATACAGTACAGCACTGTGGAATTAGAGCAGCCAAGAGTAAAAAAGGTTTGAGCTAAATGTGAATGTGATATGACTGCCACTAAGACACTTAACTTATTGACTTTATAGACTGACCTTAAAAAAATATTCAACCTGTTAGCCAAGATGTGCTTATTTTTAAACAGACCAAACGTAAAAACAAGCACATACATGATTGCATTAAGTACTGGAAATCAATCAATCAATCAATCAATCTATCTATCTATCTATCTATCTATCTATCTATCTATCTATCTATCTATCTATCTATCTATCTATCTATCTATCTATCTATCTATCTATCTATCTATCTATCTATCTATCTATCTATCTATCTATCCCGTGGCAATGTATCACTGTTGGAAAATAGACCCAAGGTAGATTTCCATTATTTATAGACCTTACACATCCTCTAAATAAAAATCAACACCATTACACCCTTCCACGTGCTGTTGAGGACAAGGGAACCCCTTAGAATGGAGCAGCACATGCTCACTGCTTATTTGGAAAGAACTTGATGCAAGCAACCAGCATCTGAAGAGCGTAGGACATGCTCATTTGAAAAACTCTTGACTGATGGGCTTTCTGTCAATGGCATCACAAGCATGCAAAACCTCAGAATATGTCACAATTAGTTTTACTTCTGACATTTGTACTGTACATGTTAGGCTTTGATGTAGAGCTTCTTTTCAATAAACAAGATACACAATACTGAAAAGTCTTTTTGGATAAAAAATAAATATATTCCAGAACAAAATATTCTCATAATATTCCAATACTGGAATTTTTTCCACATATTTTCCTCCAGAATCTTTTTTAATTATTTGAAATGTTTTGTTTTGTCTCCAACATTTACACTAAACACAAGGAAATTTGGTTTTACTCACCTGAACAATGTCCAGAACCATGCCAGCTGCAACTGTCCCAAACCCTGCCAGCAGGAAAGGGAACAAAACCTGGAGTCCAATGGAGAAGGACGTTTCCTTCAGTGGAGCCGGTGGCACCGGGCTTTGGTCCGTACTAGTGTCATCACTCTCATTGCTTTGGCTGGCGTTCTCCAGGAGTGCGTCCTCTTCCCTCTGACCCTTCGCGTTGGCCCGACAGTCGAGGACCACCATGTCCGGCCGCTCGTTCTCCTGATCACCGTCCGGTAAGGAGGTCACCTCTGTGAGTTCGTACTCCCCGGGAGTCTGCGGCACCTCCTCGGGGTTGTCGGGTAGTATTACCGGATGGACAGACCCATTGGATTGGTGGTATGCCGGCGGCGCCCCCTCCTTCTTCATCTCTATCCTTTCCGTCCCGGTGGACATGTCGGACAGTTTGTCTTGATCTTTCGACCAGAGTACCATGCGGAGGCCTTAGGATGAAAAGTGTCAATTAAGAAGAAATTAAGAAGCTTGAAGGTCTTACTTAAGTTTAGATCAGCCGTTCACCTGATCTCTGGAGATAGTTTATCCCATTAAAGACGGCTGGTGCTGATAAATGAGTCTACAGGTCGAGGAAGAGAGGCAGGTGCGTTCCCCGTCTCCAGGTTTGTGTAAGATCCTGCCTGAACTTGGGTAGCATGCAAATTATGTTCCCCATTCAAAGCAAATTTTCCTTTAAGACAACAACAGAAAGCCACATGTTAGCCTGTGTGCAAAAAAAGAAAGAATCCAAGTGAGTTATACTTCACAAAAGTAACAAAGCTGATGTCCTGTAAGTGCAAAATGTCACAAAAATGAACGAGAAAAATGGGTTCTGAGGGTCCTAATGAACGTCCGATGCTTGTGTCTCTTGAAGGCATCTATATAACTTTCCAACCAGCGCTGGGCAGTTTGAGGGCTGGAGGCGTCTCACTTTACACCACGTGGTAAAATGTTTTTTGAAATGTATTTAAAGGTCTCTGGAGCCAGAGTACTGTTACGACTCACTGAAATGCCTGAGTCTGATAAGGTCGACTTGTCACCTGCCAAAGGAAATGACACCTATTATAACTTTTTTAATGATTTAAGCTAAAAAAAACTACTTTCTTCAGTTTGGATCAGAATTTCAGATAGATATACTGCAGCTATATCAACCTACTAAATTATAAACGTAAGTTTAACTGCTGCCTTAATTTTTAATTGAATGTGAGTGAAGACCTTTTTTCTACTTTGAATTGAATGACTTAATAAAACCAAGCTAAAAAATGCAAACCCCCTAAAGAAATTACACATTACAAATAATGAAATATTTTCCACATAATAACATGATGAAAACTTCACGATAGATAGATAGATAGATAGATAGATAGATAGATAGATAGATAGATAGATAGATAGATAGATAGATAGATAGATAGATAGATAGATAGATAGATAGATAGATAGATAGATAGATAGATAGATAGAAATCAAAACCGACAGTGATTAGAAAACATTAAAAACCGGCTTCGCTATGCAGTTTCATTACAAACACGTCACGGCAAATATGACTGGACTCACTTTCCGCCGGACGTAAAAAGTTCATAAACTGACTATGACGTGATATACTTTTAAACATGAGTCAGGACGAAAAATTCTGGGCGATCCTTGAGAGAAACGAGCACCCAGAAACGTCTTTTCGGGACGGCAGAAAGAAGGGAGTATACGAGCCAACAACAATTTGCTCATTACCTCCGCACTGAAACAAAATCCCTACTTAGTAGTCCGATCAAATCCAGCGCAGCATGGGACGACGTAAATTAACACGGCTTGGTGCTACTTCACACGTATATCCTTCAGTAAAGAAAGTTTATTCCATTCATTTAATACTTATTCTACACTTTATACAAATTGAAACAAAGTGGCAAAAACAGTCGCTGTTTTTCAGGGCAAAACAGTGCAAACTTGTGTAACAGTATTTGGCACTTCTTCTGTGGTTCTGTCGAGTACTTAAAGTTCAGCAAGAACCCCATTAAACCCCATTTTGGGTCTATAAGGTCCTTGCGCTACTATGCGGTTTCGTTTGAATTATAAGTTCTTTCAGTTCTCTAAAAATACTTTACATCATACGATGGGTGATTGACGTTTACAGATGACTTGCTGAAGATAAACTATAGAATAAAGTTCTTTGTGGAACTTCTGCTATAGGGTAAAAAAAAAATCTTTATTTTCTAATTGAAATCTTTACATTTAAAAAAAAAAATATATATATATATATACAATTGGATAGTTTTAAATATTTTACACAACCAATGTATATTAGACCATGAGTTAATCACGTGTGATTTATGGCTTTTAAACACATTATTAGAATAGACATACGCCAATGGGCCAAAATAGCCTACATAAACTACAATTAAACAGATATTATGTGGCATATCATGTAACAATGTGGTATTAAAACTGCAGGTAAATGAATCACCTCTGGTCCTACCTTGGTTTGAAGACACTGCGGACCTGCTGTCATTCTCCTGTCACTACTGGCGGATCTCTGCCCTTATCTATGGTTATGGAGCCGGACCGTGATTAATCAATAACCTCTCGACTGAGGCTGTCAACTCCGATCCGTTACATTGTTCCATTTGACACGCGCTCGTTCCTGCGCATCTATATGACAGGAGGAAGTCGCGAGGCGGGCGACGCTGAGGAAAAATTCGAATCCTACTATGGAAAACGCTTAGCTCATGAATATCTAATCGATCTCACAGGCGTTGCTTGGTAACTGTTCCGGAGCGTCTAGTCACGCAACGTAATTATTATTCACGAACCCGAGCCTTCTCCCTAGTGGGATTCGTTCCTTCGTGAACTGACTAGAGCAGAGTTTTATTTTCAGCCAATCAGAAAGCGGAGCGTCACGGTACTAATTAACATTCATGAGACAAGCCTTCGCTGTAGTAGGCCAAGAAGGGATCGCGTGTGTGTTAATATGTGTTCATTTACAAGCATCAGGAAGCGCAGCTGATTCTAATTTAACAACACCCTGGATAATCATTGAAACGAAATATGTCTGTCTTCCTGAAACTGTTTCCGAGGGCTGTAATACATTCACTGTCTGCACCCTAATGCACCCATAGACAATGAATACATATTATTAATCTTCATACTAGAGGGAACTCTAGTTAATTGCTATTAAATTGCCAGAAATAAATTGAGTTACCTGCAGAGACAAATAAAATGAATGTAAAAGAAACATCTGTTCTGTGGAAAGGTGCATTAGATCCATCATTAAACTACAGAGAGCACAGAATTTTTCTATTCAGTTAATGCAAAAAAAAAAAAAGAATACTAACGGATTAGAAAAAAAATGCTGCTGCCTTAAATTTTAAATAGCCTACAATCAACTTGAATGTTTAAATAATTTCAACTTAAATTACATTAAACTGACTTTTAAAATATAAGTTGAATCTTACACAACTTGAAAATAAATTGCTATAAAAAGTAGAAAATTTAGTTAAGCAAACTTGGCATAACTTATTGATCACATATTTTTTACAGTATATTTTTATTATAGATATTTGTATATAATACATGGTAACATAGCCTATGACGTTTTAAATATGCAGAAACAAAAACATTGACTTAAAGAACCTACAATAGAACATTACAACATTTTGATCTCACATGAACCCTGTAACCAACTCAAGAACTTTATAGACAAAATAATAGGGCTCCAAAGAACAATGGAAGGATCTTTATCGTTTAGTATATGATTTAAAAGTGCAATTTTCTAAACTTTTCTTTCTAGTACATGGAATATAAGCCTCAGCCCTGAGAAGTCGCGCGTGGCTTTATTCTGAGAGCTATCAGGATGATAGGAAGCTGGCCAACCGGGACTCCACAACA